ATACAAACAATGCATTCATTCATCAAATATTTATTGAGTGCCTACTTTAGACTAAACACAGTCTTAGATGCTAGGGTTACAAAGACTAACAAAGCCCAGTTCTTAACCGCAAGGAGCTTGAAATCTAGCAAGGAAGAAAAATGCAGACTTTTCCACGGCATTTATCACACTCGGTTATAATTTCCTGTTTTCTGTATTTCTCATTAGACTACAGAGTCCCTTCAGGTTTGCATCTCATCCACCCTATTTGCTATTGTTTCCCTAGCATCAAGTCCTCTGCCTAGATAGTCAGTCAACTTGAGGGCACAACTAAAATTGTGTAAATATAATGAAACTATATAAATAATTAAAATGGTACTATAAGGGTTGGGTTCCAGGCTTGCTATGCAAAGACAATGCTTCAGGAGTGCAGTGGTAGAAGAGACCCTGGCAAAAGGAGCATCTTGAGGACTTCAAAAAAATTGAGTGAGGAGAGGACCAGGTTAGATTTGGCAATTAGGAAGTGTTTATAGTGACCTTTCAAAGAGAAGGACTAAATTTGGGAAAGGGTTATCATCCAGGTTGTTATAGGTTGGGAATGAATGAGAATTGGATAAAATTGATTGACTTGAGTTGGAAAATGAGATAATTAATCCATGGGGTGGGGCAGAGTCTTTCATACTTACATAGAAGTGAGGAAATCTCCCATGTTCTCTATCTGCTGTGGCAACTTTGTGTAAAGGAATGTATTCTCCACATGCATAATGGAGATGTCTTTACCTCTGAATCAGTTTCCTGATTTATCATAATTATTATAATAAGTTTTCTATTTATCATAAAAAGCAATTGGATAACTACACAGGTCAGAGCCAGGCCTAAGAGAAAGTCAGATATAAAAGTTTCCTGATGTATCACATCCTGGTCATTTAAAAGTCACTCCTTTAGGGCGCCTGGGTGGCTCAGTTGGTTAAGCGACTGCCTTCGGCTCAGGTCATGATCCTGGAGTCCCGGGATCGAGTCCCGCATCGGGCTCCCTGCTCAGCAGGGAGTCTGCTTCTCCCTCTGACCCTCCCCCCTCTCATGTTCTCTCTCTCTATCTCATTCTCTCTCTCTCAAATAAATAAATAAATAAATCTTTAAAAAAAAAAAAGTCACTCCTTTAGATAGTCATTGACTATCCTATCAGTTCTTTTCCTCAAAAGTAGCAACTCAAGGACCAACTTTCTCATTCCTTGATCTGTTCCAAAATATCTTATTCTTTCATGGATGTTAAATGATTGGCCATCTAATCTGTTAAAATCATACAAACAGAGCATAGAATACCTGAACTGGTTCTGGCTTCTCTTACCCTCCAATAAGTTTGCATGGCATTCCAAAGCAGAATGCTGCCCACTGCTCAGTTCAAAACTGGATACCCTTGAAGGTCCTTTTGCCCTATGTAAGTGAAACATGTAATTTAAGATAGTCTGATTTAAAAAAACCTTTAAAATAGAAACTGAGATTTTTCTTTCTTCTTCCACTTAAACTCACAGTTACCTTCCCCTTAGCCAGAAAATTGACATTATAAATATCACTGCCACACATACTATAAAGCCTAGAAATTATATCATCTCAGGCCAAAAGTGAATGTTGAGATTCTGATATCTTGCCTCTCTACCACATCTAAGTCTTTTTCTCAAGACTTCTGGAATGAAATATATTCTGGTTGAAAGTGGCTCTTAACAGGAGCTGCAGATATTTTTCCCAAGAGGGGAAAAGTGTGAAGCCAGAACTAGGGCTAATAAATCAGGACATGGCGGACAGACTGCACCCTATCTACTAGGCAATGCATCCTTCCAGGAGTGGCCCATGAATGTGGTGTTGGAGGCTTGGGGGATCATCTGTAAGATGATCTGGGAGAATAACTCTGGGAGAAAGTAAAATAGGGATAAAGATTATGAAGGATGCTGGTATTCTGAAGAAGTTTACAGGAGAATTCTAAAATGGCCATTCATTTCCTTTTAAAGGTTTCTTTCTTACTAGTTAAAATATGTATATTTAAATAGTCTAAAGCATAATGTATTTCTAAGACAAATGGCAATCAGAAAGTCACAGGTAGGGGCGCCTGGGTGGCTCAGTCATTAGGCGTCTGCCTTCGGCTCAGGTCATGATCCTAGGGTCCTGGGATTGAGCCCTGCATCAGGCTCTCTGCTCCGCGGGAAGTCTGCTTCTCCCTCTCCCACTCTCCCTGCTTGTGTTCCCTCTCTCGCTGTGTCTCTCTCTGTCAAATAAATAAATAAAATCTTTAAAAAAAAAAGAAAGTGACAGGTAGGCTGGTTTTATCCTTTATAAGATAATACAAGGAAGTCATTTTTTAGATTTCACATTTAAAATGGAACATTGTGATGTAGGTCTTATTTCTGTGAAACACCATATGTTAATTGACAACATGGGCAAGGCCAGCCACCTCCAAGTTGGGTTAAATTTTCAGATGAAAGTGTCATCAGTCCTTAGCTGAGTCAAGGATTTTGTTTACTGGGGTTGAAATATAACACTTAGATTTCAATGATTCATTGAGTTGGTATCTGACCTAGCCTTGCAAGGTTAGAAATGATTGGTTTTCCTTATGTTTTACACTGTGTTAGTTTTCTAGATAGGGCATAATATATTAACGGTGAGCTCATTTTAAAATTATTTCTCTCTATCAGTTCAGTTAATTCTTATGATAAATTTTAATATTTTGAGAGGACACAAAATATAGCATGTTTGAACATAACTTTTATATGTCACTGATATTTTTTAAGATTTTATGAGAAAAATGGCTTTGTGATACCATAATGTTTTAGATTTAGGGAATACAAGCAAAAATATTGATGTTTATGCAGTTAAATCACATTTTAATTATGACTGAATTATTTTCTGCAACTCAGCTATGGGAATTGCTTAAACCTGACTTATGTATAATTTGAATAAATTTAAAAATAAATTTTGTGAAATAGAGTTCCTTAAAATGGTGACATCAGGATAAAATATTTATGGGACAAATAGGTTTTACATATCAAAATTAGCAATTTTCTTTTTTTTAAGATTTTATTTATTGAGAGAGAGAGAGAGGAGGCATAAGCAGGGAGGGGGGGGAGGGAGAAACAGTCTCCCCACGGAGCAGGGAGCCCGATGCGGTGCTCGATCCTAGAACCCCAGGATCGTGACCTGAGCCAAAGGCAGATGCTTAACTGACCAGGCCACCCAGGCACCCCAAAATTAGTAATATTCTAACAACTCACTGAAGGTTAGGATTTAGCCTACAGTATAATGCACAATGGCTCTTTGCCATAGGGTGTATGGGTATAAATAAGTTCTTTTTGGCACACTGTATACACAGAATCAACTTCTATCTTTATGGTCATACCCTGTGCTATAACTCATTTTCTGATTTTTAAATATTCAACAGGTGAACACTCCAAATATGGACTAGTCTATAGATGCTTCTTCCTTTTCATACAGCTCTAAGTCAACTTGAATCAACAGAACTACTCAAAGCCAATGTCCTTCCACCTCTTGAGTTATTCCCATAGGCAAGAATCCTCACAAGCCATAATCCTTTCTTTATTTGAATTCTTCATCCCTCATGGCACAGTATTGTTCACCTCAGCCAATTCTTTCGCATGCATACTCCTTTTCCCTTAGTTTTTACCCAATTATTATATGAATATTCTCTTCTTTCTTCTATGAGATTGTCTTTTTAGTTGAGAAGCAATAGCATTGCCATAATCACACTGGTAAGTATGTGCGAGATAATAGAAAATATATTTGGTCTCTGTCCCCAGTTTCTGGTACAGAGCTTTTCCTAAAACCCTTATAATTTCCTTAGGGATAAGAACACTAGGAACATCTTTTGTTCAGATATTTGGTCTTTGACCCTGGTTCCTGACACAGGACTCCTGAAACCCTTGTAATTTCCTGAGTGATAGGAGTATCTTTTTGTCCCAATGAGGCAACTCTGGGTGGGCTTCTGGGTGGTTCTTGCATAAGGGCTGGCCACCAAGCCATGATTAGGAGCTTGGACTTTTCAGCCCTACCCTTGATTCTCTTGAAAAGGAGAGGGGCTGAAAATAGAGTAAATGATCAATCATGCCAACTTGATGAAACTTCCATAAAATCCCAAAAGAACAGGGTTCAGAGAGCTTCTAGGTTCATGAACATGTGGAGGTACTGGGAGAGTGGTGCACCCAGAGAGTCATGGAAGCTCCAAGCCCTTCCCACATACCTTGCCCTATGCATCTCTTCTCTTTGGATGTTCATCTCTATTCTTTATTATATCCTTTTACTAATAAACCAGGGAATAATTAGTAAACTGTTTTCCTGTGTTCTATAGCCACCCTAGCAAATTAATCGAACCCAAGGAGGGGGTTGTTGGAACCTCCACTATAGAGCGGGTTGGTCAGAAGCACAGGTGAAAGGCTGGTCTTGGGAGGTGTCCTGTGTGTGTGTGTGTGTGTGTGTGTGTGTGTGTGTGTGTGGTGGGGAGACAGTCTTATGGGATTGAGCCCTTAACCTGTGGGATCTGATGCTATCTCTGGGTACATAGTGTCAAAATTGAGTTATGCTGAAGAACACCCAGCTCGTGTCAGAGAGGATTGCTTGGCTTGGGGAAAAAACTTCCATACATTTGGTGACCAGAAGGGTCAGGAGTGAAGTGTTCTGTGTGACTGATAAAGTGACTTCCCTCCTTAGGAAGGAAAAAATCTGAGTTTTTCTAATAAAGTATAAAAATGCTGGTAATAATGGTATTAAATAAAATCTAAAATTTACATATGTTAAAGTGGAACTGAGAAAATAAAAAGCCAAGGCCATCTCCTTCACTGAAAAGTCTCCTTTAAAATCTTCCCTGAAATTATAATCAATCACTATGCCCTTATCTAACTAAATGAAGAAAAAAATCAGCACTTAAACAAAAATTATATCTTAGTCTGCTCTACTCTTTTTCTACTTTTCAATTCCTAGTTTACCATTTACTGTATTTCTTTTATTTTTTATTTCAGATGTTCTGCATTTCAACCTCATCAAAAATTAAATTGATATTTATGGGCTAATCTGGAAACCTAAATACAGTTTGTTTCACTACAACTATAAGAAAATATGTTCAAATTCCCATTGGCTGACTTATAAAGGGGCTTCTGGAACACAACTTAATGTAAGTTGCAGACATACTGTGTTTTAATCTTTGTTAATTCACCTCCTCCCTGGTTTAGGGCATAGGTCTACTGGCAGGTGTGCATGTATTATATATACCTTTGTGTGTATACCCTTTTTCACAATTCCGGGTTCATAACATTTATTCTTCCCTTCAATAGGTATTTAAATGCCTATTATGTAAACAGTACAATTCTAGGCCTAAGGGACATCCAGAAATGAGGTTACTGCCCTCATAGAGCTCATACTCTGTCAGAGAAACACATTAGCCAAATTGCACAAATACGTATGACATGCATACGGTGATGGATGCTCTGAAGGGAGGTCATATAGCACCATGGGAGCATGTAACCAGGGGTCCGCCTTGGCTCCAGGTCAGACGGGTTGCCTGGAGAAGGTAGTACTCCAGGTAAGATCTAAAGGGTGGGCGGGAGTTAGAAAGGGCAAAAGAATCGGGAGGTGGAGGGAGGGTGGGGCGAGGATATAGGAGGAAGAACTTCAGACAGAGAAAACATGTTCAAAGACCGTATTTGCTCAGGTAGTTTTGATAAGTTTTTCAAAGAGCGTCCACTGAGTAGCTAGAAGGCTTTTAGCTTATCCTAAATCATGAAAATAGTTTGTAATCATACTAGAAAATCAGAAAGCCTATATTTCGCAAGCACCTGTACTTTTTTTTTTTTTTCAGGTGTGAAGTACTCATTAAGCCCTAACAATTACCCTGAAGATGGTATTATGAATATGGCAACTTTTCTGCGGGGCTTTGAAGAAAAGGGGATAAAGAATGACAGGCCTGAGGACCAGTTGAGTAAAGAGAAAAAGAAAATTCTTTTCTCCTTCTGTGAGGTGTGCAACATCCAGCTAAACTCCGCAGCCCAGGCCCAAGTCCATTACAATGGCAAATCCCATCGCAAACGAGTCAAGCAGCTGAGTGATGGGCCGCCCCCACCGCTGGCTCAGGGCTCGGGGCAGCTGCTGGCCAGCCCCAGCACCAACACCAGCCCAGGTAGGTGCGAACGCCCAGGGCTCCATGAGCTGCCAGGAGAAATGCCGCTGTTCTAGAAAAGAAAGGCTTTAGAACAAGGTATCTTTCACCGTAGAGCTACCAGCACACCAATATGTATTCTTTTCCCTACAGTTAATTCCAAGAGCTGTTGGTTAATTCTGGGTGTGTGTGTGTGCCTGTATAAGAAATTCATATATAGTATATTAGAATCAAACATTATACACACACACACACACACACACAATGTCGTGTATTGCATTGTAGACTTGGTCCTGTCTCCCCATAGGGTGTGAACATTTCCTAATATATTTTGAAGTGTATTTAAAATAGATCAGTGATGTCAGTTTTTTGTTCTCCCTCTCTGCAAGATTAGGCTCTCTTGGGTTTTCTTCATCTGCTTTCTATAGGGTGGTGTACTACTTGATAGTATATAAAAAGCAACAGCTTTATTTATAACATCCCGTGATGCAGGAAGGGAGCATTAATCCTGAGCAGTAGACATGTTATATTCTTTTAGGGAGTTGGCAGCATGTGCCAGTGGTGTTCTAACAATAGGAGCAGGCATTGCCAAAACCAGCAAGGCTTACCTCTGAGCTCTGGCCCCGGTGCAAGCTCCTTCTTGCCTCCTCTCTCGCCTCTCACCCTGTCCAGTGGGTGGGTAGAAGCAGAAGCTTAGAAATTGTCACATTTCCTGCATCTGCCCTGAATCTGAGAAATAGTCTTTCAAATTCTTTATCTTATCCTTGGGCAACCCTTCCTCCTCCCCATTGCTGGTCATTGGGTATCTCCACTAGGACACAACTAAAGAAGATGTGAAATTTACTGTGATCCGGGGTGAAAATTTCTACAAATAGGGGGTGTCCTACCCAGGTTTATGTCGGAGAACAAGAGAAGCCTCCTTCTGAATGTGGTGGAAGAGCTCCAAATTCCACTCTAGTCAACCCTGGGAGCGAGACTTCACCGTGGAGTGCGAGGCTGCAGAGAAGCCATTTGTTGAAATTTTACTTGGGGCTGGTACATGGTTTTTGATTTTGTGAAGTTATGCCATGACCCATATTAAGCTCTAGTGAAAATTGTGTGTGTGCTGTGAAGAAATAATTCTTGTATTTCAAGCTAAACCTAACTGCTTTTTACTCAGTGTGTGATTTAATTTCATTAAACTGTTTTCCCCAGTCAATAGTTACTTAGCATGCTGTGGAAGAACTTAAAGGAACTTTGAGGTTATAAGATACACATTTATTATAAGAGTGAAAAATTACTTCTCCATTTTGTCTTTATTAATTATGATGATAATGTAAATATTCACAGATGCATTAATGTATCTGTATATACATAGTAAGATAGAGTTGGTGTCAGGTTAAAACTGATTTATTGTTTTATATCTGAATCAGAGAGCAAATAGTCTTGAGTAAAGGTGTGAATTGTATCTGTCAGAGCCTAAATATGTATGTCTAGATGGAGGTTAACTTGTGACTTCTAATTAGTGAGATTAGTGGCTAACATTAACTGATCGTATTTTATGGGCCATTTTCTGGTCCTTTCTGGGAATTTTCTCCTTTAATCCTTTCATCAACCCTGAGGTAGGAACTATGATTATCCCTAATTTACAGACTAGGAATGGAGCACAGAGAGAGAAAATAATTTGTCTAGGTTATATTGCATGGAAATGGCAGATCTAGAATTCCAACCATATTTAATTAGTTAATAGTGAAGCCATTATTCTTTGTCACTACTTTGCTGCTATTTTCTGCCATGCAGTAACACTCAGGTTAAATTCAGACCTGTGTGCTATAATATATTTGTGGTCACAAATTGTTGCTATCATGGTGAACTATCTCACTTTGATGGGTTTTGAAAATAGACATGTAAAGCTCCAACTCATGAGTTTCTCCATGCTAATGAAATTAGATGACATAAATTTAGCTAAGACATACACAGAATATTATGGATATATTCTACAAGTAAAATATAGCTCATCATCTAGTATAAGTCAATATTAATATATAGGAAAAATGGGTACAAAATGAGTCAGCTTTTCAAGTTTTACATTAGGTATAAAGGACAACTTTCATACACTGATAGTATAGTCAATTATCCATTGTCAAAAGATGGGTTTAGCATATGATGAAAGCAAGTCACTTAATCTCTGAAAGTGGTTAACATGAATTCTCCTGTTTGAAAAAAATAGTGGGTATAACAGTTTCTTTTTCTCTTAGACATAGATGTATGTACAGAGATGATCATGACATGATTTATAATTCCAGAATATTAAGTGTATCCCAAATGTCCAATAGGAGAAAGGTTGAATACCTTAAAGTACGTTTATAAGATGAATGATAGAAACTAGAGTCATTAAAAATTGAATTTCTGAAGAATACCTAATGACATGGGAATCTGTCCATGATATCATGCTAATTGAAACAGTAGGAAGTAAGGTGGAATATACCTTAGTGCTATGTGTACATGTGCACTTATCTACTGTTGTCTCAACTCACCGAGAAGCAAGACTGACATGGTTTTATTTTTTCCAGTCACTTTCTTCAGTTTTGATCTATCAAACGTCTGTTTCCTGCTGGGTAGCAGTTCCCTTAACACTTTCTCAGCCCATAACTTCTCACTTTTGTATATTCAGAGGGACTTTGATTTAAATGACTCAGCTCTATTTATAAAAACATCCATGTCAGAGCCAAATTAAGATTTGGCTAGATAGACCCTGGAGTTGAGAGTAGAGGATGGGATGCAGTTAGCTCTCAGCTTCCCCTGCTTCAGCCTGCCCTTCTGCCGATGGAGGGATGGAGGGGTGGAAGTGGCCTTATCTTACAGCCTAGGCAAGATTGCAATGCTATTCTTGATAGGAGATTCCTATTCTGGTGGTCTCTGGGTCACAAGTGCTCCTGGCAGAGCCTGTGGATGAAGAACTCCACCAAAATGTCCCTCAGGCATTGGGAGTCCCTGAGATTTAGTTGTATCTCAATTTACCCCCACTTTGTAGCAAAAGACCCTTCCTCAATTGTGTATGCTTCTTTCTCCCACATTGTGGCAGCCCTGGCAAGATTGTGTCTATTCTTATCTATGTATTTATCAACTCTAGGGCTTGAGGGAATGCACAGAATACATCTGACAACTAACATTCCTCTCCAAAACCTGGAGCTGCTGGGGCACAGGCAGGTAGAAGTGGAGTGGGGTGTGAGGGTCTCCTCCACATTTCTCTTCCTGCTCAGGTAGCACAGGGGAGACTGGGAAGTCCACTGACAAAGTAGGTACTTAATCAAGGAAAAAAATGCCAATCTTCCCTTTTTGCCCATTGCTTGGCTTTATGGAGTGTTATGGGCTGAATTGTGCCCCCCCCCGCCCCCCCTCCCCGCAGAAAGGGATATGTTGGAGTCCTAATCCTCAGTACTTCAGAATGTAACCCTATTTGTAGATAGAGCCTTTGCAAAGTAAATTAAGTTAAAATGAAGTCATTAGAGTCAGGTTAACCCTAATTCAATATGCCTGATAGCCTTATAAAAAGGGGAAATTTAGACATACAGACACACAAAAAGAAAAGATGAGGTAGACACACAGGAAGAAGACAGCCATTTACAAACCAAGGAGAGAGATTTGGAACCAGTCCTTCTCTCAGAGTCCCCAGAGGGAACCAACCATGGCACACTTTGATCTTGGACTGCCAGCCTCCAGAACTGTGACTGATATATCTTTACCCAGTTTGTGGTGCTTTTGTTTCAGCAGCCCTAGCAGACTTATACACAGAGAAAAATGGTATCCCATCTTCCCCACAAAGGAGAAAAGTTGTGGTAGTAGAGATAAACTTCCCAAGAACTGTCAGTTTCAGAGGTAACTTTCCTTCTCTGTCAGCCTTATTATAGAGTCGGGGTTGGTAAGGGTGGGAGTGGGGTCCACAGCATGGTGGTTGAGACTTAAGCCATTTCTCTGAATAAGAAGTGACTGACCTCTAACCACTGGCAGTTCTTTAAACTAAGCCTAGAATTCAAAACCTTTAAATCTCAGCTTCTGGAAGAACAGAAGGACTCTTGTTCTAGTCATGCCTGCAACTGACTAGATGAGGCCCACCCACATCAGGGAGAGCAACATGCTTTACTCAGTCTATAGATTTAAATTTAAAATTCATTCAAAACACAGAAACACCCAGACAGAATTCAGAATAACCAAATATCTGGGCACCCCATGGCAGCCCATGGCACCCCACGGCCCAGTCAAGGTTTGACACATAAAATTAATTCTTACACTGTCATTTTCCTCTTAAGTTTTATAAATCATATTTGATGATTGAAACAAAAATTATAACCATCTGATACTCAAGACAATGATATTTAAAAGTGGGGAACTTCAACGGACCCAAATGGTAGTAAGGTATCAGTACTTCATTTGAAGTATTTAAATGGTGGTGCCAGGAGATTGTGATAAGTATGTATATTGTAATACCCATAGCAACTACTCTGAAAACTTTACAAAGAGATACAATCAAAAATAATATAAATAAATCAAGATGGAGTACTACTAAAATTTTCAAGTAACTCACAGAATAAGAAAAGATAAACATAGAAATGAGAACGAGAGGAAACAAATAGAAAACAAAAAATAAAACGACAGACTTAAGTAATAACATATTAATGATTACCTTACATGTAAATGGTCCAAATACAACAATCAAAAGACAGAGATTTTTAGAGCAGATTCAAAAAATGACCCAGTTATATACTGCCAACAAGAAACTCACTGCACAGTCAACTATATATATAGGTAAGTGAAAGGATGGAAAAGAATATGCCTTGCATACAGTCATAAAAATAAAAAAGGCATGAGTATCTATATTAATATTTGATAAGACAGACTTCAGAACAAAGAATATTATTAGAGACAAAGACATTGTGCTATGATAAAAAGTCCAATCCACCAGGAAGAAGGAATACATAATGATTCTAAATGTTCATGTATCAATTACAGTTGAGGACTTCAGTAATTCTCTCTCAGCAACT